ATGAAAAATTTCCGAATTTTTGCATGTTCAATGAGCCAACTGAATAGCATCTCCATGAAGGCTTCTGCTCGTCTTCGTGGAAATGCTGTATTTAACGAGCAAACATCCATGCAACACATGTCTTACAGCTTGCATTAAAATGTTGAAAGCCAAATGTACTGTACAATCCATGTGATTCGTTTACGTTTTTTAGAAATTAAATTTGATCTAATTTAAAAATGTAAACTGTTTCGTACTAATAACTTTATACTAATTTGTCTGTCCGTCACGCCATTCTCTAGAAATTTAATCATTCCTTTTCCTTTAAAATGCAAAGTAACAATTATTATATTTATTAACAGAAGAGTTGATAACAATATATGACTCTGCGCTACTACTTCCTATGTACTGGATGATTTTATATCAAACACTTTTAAAATTTCTTTTTAAAAATAATACAATTTTTTATTTGTATTATATTAAATCGAATTCTTTATAAAAATAATTCATCACAACAAGCAGAATAATCGTCACAATAATAAAAAAAATTATTATTTTTTTAATAATATCGACTCTGTTTTCTGTCCATAAAAACTCGATGGAAAATATACAGTAGACCCCCTTATAATTACGGTCCCTATAATTACGATTTCTATAAAACTGCGAAAAAATTGCGACGGTATTTGTAAAAAATGTAAAAAAAAAAAGTCCTATAATTACGTAAAATGTCATCAGGCAGCCGAACTACTTTCCCGCTGTCCGTAGCGCCACGCTACAGAGAGATTCCTACCGTCTGGACAGTATTATATAAATTATATATAAATTAGGTACTGTACATATAATTATATATTAATTATATATAAATTAGGTACTGTATATATAATTATATATTAACTTATTGTAACTTTGTTATAATTAAATATATAATTTCCGCCGTCTAGCGTGGCGCCACGCTACGGAGATTTTTACGCTAACTATCGTCTGTCAGTATGTAAATTAGGTACCGTAAGTCTAATACAGTACTGTAATTTTATACATTTCTTGTGAAAGAAACATTTCTTATTCAACGGCGATTAAAATTATTTATATTAATGATGTCTCCAAAGTTCAACGAAGTTTTCGCAGAAAAATAAATTATTAGAAATCGGCCGCTGTTTGCTGAGCTGTTCCGCGACAAAACAAGCTTTAGCAATGGCCATGTCGAATGGTGCACACTCGGTAAGTAATCCTACAATTTTTTGTTTATAGCGTAGTTTATGCGGATTATTCCCAAAAATAATATACGTATTTTGGAAATGTTGAGTCGGATTAGTCTATAATCGATGAATTTTATGGAAGAAATCCTTTCAATCAGCCGTAGTTTGTAAACTTCACACGTGTCGGGCTGTGATTGGAAGAACTCGTAAGAAATCGGATTCCTAAAAAATGAAACGTATCTATGATCTTATAGGGGGTAGACTGTATCTTTATTTTTGCAATCGCTTAACAAATAAAGTGTTTAAACAAATAATAAATAATATTCATACGTTTTTTTATCGTAATTTTAACGGTAAGGGAGAAGTGTGGTGTTTAGAGTAGTTCTGTAATTATATCAGCTTTTTACAACTTCCTGAAGAAGAGTAAAGATAATGTCGATATTCACAGTTTATTTAATAAACTAGCTATTACCAGCGGCTATGACCGCTCGGATTTTGCAAGCAAACTCCATTTATATTCATTATTTCAACAACCATAGTGATTATTATATAACACCTACCGCTGAGAATAATGAGAATTGCCGAGAATCAAACGAACTATTTTCAATTTGATCAATTTTCTGGAACGTTTACAATCGTTCTATAATCGAACCAATACGCAATAACAAATTCGAATTTAAAACGGTTCGAACATTTTTAAAATCGAAATAGATAAAAATATTTATCACAATGTCTGAAATGTTATTAATTTAATACTCTTAAGTACTCGATGAAGACTAAATTCTCTCCCTCTCCCGCCCGTGGGGGAATTTCGAAAAATCCCTTCTTAGTGTGCGTTTTCATGACGTGCTCTAACTGTCTACCAAATTTCATTTGTTTAAGTTAAGAAGCGGTTTGCTCTGGGCGATGATAAATCAGTGAGTGAATGAGTGAGTCAGTCAGGACAAGCAATTTTATATATTTAGATTAGTATCATTTTGAAACATAATTCCGAAAAAGGGACGAGATAAGCACATAATTTAACGTTGAACACCGTAGATAAGTACAATAAGCTTATATCCAACACTCAGTCTGTTACATAGTCTACAAGACAATACTTTACTCGACGTCAACCGACTGTTACTTCAATACAAAAATGAGAAATATTCTCTTGATAATGCTTATTTTCTCAGCTTTTATCTTGAATGGTGAGTTTCCATGTAAAAATATTTTTCTTGCACAGTTTCTATAGCAGCTTGTGTGCATACATAGTGTGAGGGCCCGGATTTAAAATTCGAATATTTTTATTCGTTACGTTAAAAGTTAGATTAAAAGTTAGGGTTAATTCCAAGAGAGAAAAACAACCGACAAATTTTCTTATAAAAATCGCTCATAAAATTCTGTTTCCACGGGGATACTTCCTTGTAGAGGATGAGTTAACCGTTATGTCATAATTTTGACACTTAGCTCTCTATTGGTGAAAGAAAATCATTACCTGTGAAGTACATGGGGAAATGTTGAAAACCGAGCCCCCATATAAAAGGAAAGTGCGATGACGACACAGGAAGAACAAGTTCTTTTTTCTATACTGTGAGTGTGCCTGTGGATTACCTGCCACTCCTCGCCACCGTCTTCAATAGACTTTGAACTTAGACTTCGATTTTGGACTGATTTGAAATTTGAACTTGGATCAACGTTATAACGACATAACCAGAGGTATTTATTTTACTCGCGAGAGGATGTAAGCTTTTTCTCGGTCGCGACTAATATAGATTTTGCCCGCTATTTTACGAACTACGGATTGAACCCGCGAGAGGAATTTGTACCCTCGACTCTTTAAATAATTAACGATGTAAAAATTTACAATAATAAACGGGTATATTGTTAATGAACTTGGATTGGTGTGCGTTTCTTCTGCCATTATCCACTCCCTAATGAACCCGAACGAGATCGGTCGTAATAACTCCTCCAGTCAACCGCGTATCTATCCGCGACGGAAATGATAGATTGGTGTCAGATCCTGACGTGAAATAAGGATCTCGCGATCCTTAACGTAACCCTTCGCTCGAGAAAAATCTATTTTTCAGACAAGCGAGACCGGAACTCAAGGTATTGAGTCGAGTAAGTGGTAGGATAGTCCCATCCTCGTAAACATCATACTCCCGATTACTCTCACTATAGCCTTTGTACATGTATCATTATTTGGTGAACCAGAAGTGCCCATTATACATTAAATCTTAACAAAACACTAGTCAGTACGTGCAGCATTGTAACGTGATGATGTGTAAAAAGTTTACAATTCATAGTTTCTAAGGCGTGATTCTGAGAAAGTTGTAGGTTTATTTAATTAAAAAGCCGGAAATATACAAGTTTACTATTTCATTTAAAATTCTTTATCGAAGAATTCTCCTCTAAATTCTTTCTTGAATTGCGCTGTTTATTCCGTCAATTTAAATCAAATCAAACCTTCATTATTAAACATATTACTACAGAAATTACTATTGGTGAGTTCAAACTGATAACAAATATGGGTGATATTACCGTTCTTAATTATGTAATTACAATTACTCGCAATATCTTTACTTATTCTGGTTTGTCGCTAGAGATTCATTTACATTTTCATTTTCAAACAGATTCATTAACATTTTGCTAATTTCTTATAGCAGGCGAACTGAAATCATGAAATCATGTTCTTGAATCTGAATTGTAGGAAAAAAATTTGTTAATAAAATATTGTGTTTGAAGTATTCAAAAAGTTCAGAGCTGGAATTTGGCATTTCCACGTGTTATTATTATTTCTAATTAATTATAATAAAAATGGTCATTATTTTAATTTACTATGTTTCCATTAGTAAAGAATTTCGAAACTTTAAGAAATTTAGATAAAATGTATTATATAAACAAAATTAGTTCTAAGGAGAATCCACAACAAAAGTGGTAATCAATTATCGATCGAAACATAAATCAATTCCCAATTAAAATTCTTGTGAAATTAATAATCGACCGCTTCCAACTTCATTAATAAAGTAAACTTAAAACAAAAAAATTTTCAAATTTCTATCTTCGGTTGTTTGCCGAGCAATGAAAATTCTTCAGCTAAAAGTAAGTAAATCCATAACCTATCCATTAAGACAAAGTTACGTCTATAAACTACAGTAAATTGCTCTACATACAGTACATCTCTACTAATTAAATTATTATAGTTTGCATCACGAATATGACGTAGTCACTCACGCTTTTACGTAACTGTTCTATAGGAGACTATACGTAAAAGCCGTTTACTGCGTTTAACACTATTTATTTGAATCTGGTGATTTCTATGCTCTATTGCTGAAAATGAATCGATTGCTTGCATTATTTTAACAATATTCAATATAAACAATTAGTTTAAAATTGTGTACAAAAAAGTGAAAAAATTACGAATTGTTAGATACTTAGAAAACGGCAAACACTGTGACATATTTTTCATTGAAATATCAAGGAAATTTGAATCTATAAGTACTTCTTCACACTTCAAATGAGTATATTTTGTATTAACAATTAAAATTATACATCAACAAAAATGCAGAGAATACAATGCCTTGAATGCCATCCAAATTATTCGGGAATACTTAACTACGTTTGTTTCAGATGCTTAATTAAAAACACTCGCAGAGTAATGAGATTTCTCTACCTTATTTGTGATGACAATGATAGATTAAGATGTATTAAAATCGGTTTTCTATGGACAGTGACCGTCGATATATTCCTGTTATCACTGTATTTAATAACTAACATAATGGAGAAACTTAATGATTACAAAGACTTGTTTGACATAATAAATACAGAAATTTATAATATAGTACGGTTATATTTTTCTTCTTTTGCTCTGTTCACATTACTGATTTACAACAGGAAGAGTGCCGTATGTAAATTAGAGAATGTCTTGACGCAACTAATACTTGAAACCGCTCATTGCATCAATCCTACTTTCCATTCTGAATATTCTTATATTAAAAAGCTAGAATGGCTTCTCCTTTCCGTAATCTCCTTAACAATTAACATTGCAGTTGTAAGCGTTTCCGTTTTCAATAGTGAAAATGAAATAATATATTTAAAATATCAACACATTTCATTAATTAATGTTGCATTCCTCGTAATTTACGTATCATACATTATGTTGATAAGTGTAATAATCCAAATTGCCGTTTATTATTACGTGCTTGTAACTGCCATAATAAGAAAAAAAGTGAACGAAGCCAATCAGCAATTTAAATTTCTCTTCGATCATACAGAAATGATCCACATGCTTAAATCTGTGCAGAGACACCATCTGAAATGTCTACAGATGATAGAGGCAGCCGATGAATTCTTTCAGTTATACATTTTCTGTGTTTATTCTGTCATCATTCCGACTATATTTTTGCTTTTCTGTAATATCCTTGTTGCAGAATATTCTAACTTCAGTAATATTTTGTATTTTCATATTTTGATGTGCTGCATAATTGTCCTGGTCGTTACTTTAGAAGCCGGTGGACTATCTTCCAAGGTAAGTGTTATAAACAATATACATTTATTTTTTGAGTTGCTTAAATGCTTAAATTATTTCAGGCTCATCGTCTAGAATTTATTTTACGTGAAGTTCCAGTTCTTGAAATTCCGAAACGTCAAATATTTCAAGTAAGGAATATTTAATTATAGCAAACGATAATATAAATGCATAACTTTATTGATAAATTTAATATTTTTAGATTAATACTTCGTTAGAAAGACTGAGAGGATCAAGAATTGGTTACAGTTGTTTAGGAATATTTGTTGTTTCTAATAACACTTTAACAAAGGTACAGTACGTAACAATATTTAAATATATTATAATTGTAAATGGAATGTTCGTTAATTTATGTAACAATATACATATTACAAATATGTATATTGTATTAAAAATATTTATGTAAATGTTTCTTTTTGTAATTTTTTCAGGTAATTAGTGGCTTGACGACTTACATCTTGATGTATATGCAAATGAGGCAAAAGTCAGAACAAAGAAATTTTCCAACTTTATCGATTACGAGTAAATAAATGCCTGTTTTTATCTTCTATTGTCAACTGATAACCAAATTTCGATGCATTCTATGACTATTGCGAATAATACATATAAATCATTATATAATGTAAAACTCCCGCTTTATAATTATGTTTTTTATTAGAATGCTCCCTATTCAAGAGCTGCATTTCTTATGTATTATATAATGAAATCTTTACATTTGTCGGAACTTGATCTCTTCTTAACAAACGGAGTTTATATCTAACACAATGTCTGTTCTCTAAGCCGGTAACTTCACGTTACTCACTACTCCGATTTCCGGTTCATTATGGAAATGGAAGGTTGAATGGTTATTTATTGATGCAAAGGAATTGATTTCGTGTACGAAATTATGGAAATAATTTCGATATTATATTTGAACGTAAAAATGACTAAATTTAGTTCTAGGTTTCTAATAATTCATCACTTTCTCGCGTGCAATTTAAACATCTTACTGTAACAGGGGCACATGTAATAATTTTGTATATACTTGCACATATTTTTCTCAATTATAGTTTATTTGACGTATAAAACAAAACTGAGCATGAGAACTTTATAGTTTTGACTTCAGTTGTCTCAAGAGCGTGTCATTCAACGTGTCGATTTCTACGCACGATTCATAAAACAACACATTTAGTTTTACTCATTGTAGGTGTTTTCAAATAATTGTAATTTAATTAGTAAACCATACAGCAATTTACATAATTTTCTCAAATTTGACTGTTGTCTTTCCTGTCATCTCTTCATATTATTTAAATGTTTTTCTATCGGTCGTTACAGCTAGTGCCAATAGAAACTTTCCAACCATGGTTACCTCATACATTAACCAATTACTTTTACTTTATAACACTTTCGTGTATGTATAACATTATCTATAAAATAAATTCTGTAAGAATAAGTTAATTGTTTCTAGGATTTTTGTTTCTAGAAAATAAAACGTGTCATTCTTGAATATTATTATAAGAACACAGAAAACGTTATGAAGGTAATGAAGGTAGAACATTTTGTCTATAAAATAATTTTTAAAAGAGGCCAAATACTCACAGAATATCGAAATATAACAAAAATCAAGAAAGAAAAGAAAGCAGGTGTGTGTACAGGATGCCGTATGTAAACTACGAATTACGAATAAAAAGGAATTACGTTTACATTAGAGTCATCCATATCCATTAGACTGAAAATGTTAATGTATAGCAAACGAATGTGTTTTAGCAGCCAAAGATGTTTATTGATTATTTTACTAATTATTCTTTATACTAAGTGTGGCTTTAATAGAATAGTCACTGTTAAATAATTAGTAGTAGCTTTTCTCTATTAGTTAATTATTTAAATTCACTCTATTTCAAGTTATGAACAAGCTGTAATAAGACTATGTATTTTAAAATAAAATCGCACAAAAAATTAAATTATTTCTATCACAGTTATTGTGTTTTTTATGCTTGTATTTCATTCTCTGCCATAGCACTGATGAAATAAGATAACGTTTGTTTATTCTTTATTACAAGCCATGCATTTTCACAGACAACGACATCGGTGAGCAAATTTATTTTACATAGAATTTCTTAGAATACATGAAAATGCGTCTTATTAAGATTAAAGTATAAAGTCCTATTAATTAATAAGTAAAGTCCAAGTAGACAATTAACAATAAAATATTAAAATTTAAGGACAGTAAGGCTTTTATAAGAACTAAACAAAAATTTATTACAGACAAAACATGACAGAAAACAAAATCGACACCAGAGATATTAGATTTCTATCTAACCGTGTGAGAGATAGTTTACACCAAATATAACTTATACTAACTCGACAGTAAATCGGTATAGCAGTCTTCTATTTTGGAAACGGATGGCGATGTATTGCCTACGACGTTCGTGGATGAAGATGGATGCGAGAACTGTTGGGCACACTAGGTAAATCTTCCTGAGAGAGAGTCGGGGTTTGAAGCACTAGAGAAAACTTCAGGAGAACTCTCGAATCGGGAAAAATTGCCCGCTTTATCGAACTTTTCAACCGATAGTAATCATGGATTTTCGTTCGTAAACACGATGTGGAAAGGAGTAAATATGCAGATGGTTGTCAAGATTAGCGATAGGAAAGGGATAACGGGAAGTTCGAGTTCTCCTATTTAGACTATGGTCGGTTTCTAGCTTAATGTATTAAACTCCATATTTAATTATATTAATTGAATAATTTTCGTTTCGATTCTCACAAAAGTATTACTAATTTTTTGGAGGAGAGCATATAATTTAAAAAATGATTAAAAATTACAGCGCCGCATTGTGAAGAAGACAAAAAATAATTGCTCTCTTATTCATGTAGTTTTAATTTGACACTAAAGAGGAACAAGGATAAAATAAATTCTCTTTTCATTTTTACTATAAAGACAGAGTCCACGTCGAATATGCGCTTATTATCACTTTGAAGAGTAAGAATTATATCCACACTTGAAGCTGGATCTGTCCCTTTTAATATCTATAGATATATCAATACAGTGGGTGATCGGTTAACGAACGCTTTCGCGAAAGATATTTATGTTCGGACAACAAACACATGATCGGATAACGAACACCCCACAGAACAAACACAAGAAGAAGCGACGTAAAATAATGAATACCGATTGGTTTTCCCCTGTCTTCGACAACAATTCGAAACTTTTCGGAGTGTGGGAGACGTCGACATCGACGCTCAAGCCGGTATATACCGATTGGATAGTATTCATCCGAACTTTGAAATTTTCCCTTGTAATTCCAGCCGTTTATTTTTCTGACAAAACAAATCTTTCATATATTCGCGAGACTGTCGGCTTGTCACTCGTTAAGTTTTGCGTCTGTTTTTCGTTCAGAAAGGTGAGAATATAATAGCAAAGGTAGAGAGTGGGCAGAAGATGTCAAATGTTGCTGGGCAGTATGGCGTGAACAGGTCTATAGTAGTCTGCAAGTTCAATCTTATTTAAGAAAAATACTATATAATGAAAAAGACTCATGCATCTAAAGGAGTAACAAAAATTACATCTGAGAAATAAAGAACATCGAAGAGTTCATAATGGAACCCGAAACGGATCTGACGACAGAAGAACGCCAAGAACTCTTGAATGAAGAACACCAAGAAACTCGGCGAGATATGTTTTCTTCTAAAAATAGGATTAATGCCGATATCTGTTATTAAAGATCCTTTGAAGAACTGGGTAGATGTCAGAACAACGTTCTTAGAATGGCATCCAAACCAGGTTGAGGCTTGCGGATTTCTACAATTGCAATTACTGACGAAAAATCCTAAAGAAGAGAGAAAAGCAATCGACATTAGACAGATTCTTTAACGCCTTCAAACGGAAAAAACATGACTAATAAAAACTCAAGACTGTGTATAGATGTATTTTTATTATTACATAAAATAAACGTAGTAAGAAAGTATATATTTTTTATTTTTGGGGGTCTGCGGAACGAATTAATTTAATTCTCATTAAAGCCTATGGTAAATCGATAATCGGTTAACGAAAAATTCGGATAGCGAACAAAGACTTGGAACAGATTATGTTCGTTAACCGATCACCCACTGTATATAATATTCAGCCAAACACGAACAGCATTTCCAATAGATTTTATATGTACTAAACAAAGAAACTAAAACTAAAAGAAGAATGGAATTCTAAAATTCTTTTCTTAATGCTTTTAACCAGTAATTTTCAATAACTACTTAGACGAACGTAATAAACTTTAAAACAGATTTATAATCTAAATTTGCGTTTGCATTTATAAAAATATGTTAAAATAAAATGTCGATAATGTTATATAAGTAACATAAAGAATTCTGATCTAAAGTAAATGGCTAAAAGCACTCGCCTTCTGCATACATTAAAACTGTTTCTCTGAGTGTAACATCGAAATTTATAACGAAGAGTCACGCGTTTAACTATCCAATAACGTTTAGTAACGTACGATAAGTAAACAACGGTAACCTCTAATAGTATTCACTTTATTTCATAACTCTCCCAATAAAATGTACTATAACGTTATATTTCTCGACTTCCAGGATCCACACAATTCTACTAAATTGATATGTAAAATTATTTAAAATTGTTTTGCTAGAATATGTATCCTCAAGAGCAACACGAAAACTGCTCTTGTCTGTTGTGCCGAGTAAACAGTAACCTGCGAATGTTGGAAATTTTTGGCTTTAGAACGACTCCGGAATCAAAAAGTACTTTTGTTTCAAATATATACCGTGTTTTCGTACAAAGTATACTGATATCGAGTAACGTTAGCATGATACTTTTCGTCATTTTAACAGGCGAAACAAGAAATCGATACTCTGGAAATATCACTCTTTTATTTAAAGAGGATTTCGTTTTTAATTGTCTCGTCATGCTCTCGTTTACCCTTTCTGTAATTCTTTTATATTACGGCTTTCAAGCTATTCTCGATCGAAGTCTATTAAATCGTATTGTCACTAAATACTGCACGAGTTTCGAACACAGAAGACTTCGACCGGATCTCATTCAATATAAATTGTCCAATTGGCTTTGCGCTTCTTCGCTAATCTTTGTGGTGTTTTCGATTATTGTTCACGCCGTTGCTTATTCGTTTATTGCAAACAAAGAAACCGTTCATATGATTGTATTTCATTTCGTTTTGACTAGTTATGAGATATTTTACGGTGTGCAAATTATTATTTACACCATCCTCATATTGTCTGATATTGGAATCACGTTGGAACACGAAATGTCCTTGTTTTCTCTTCAATTAGAAGAACGGATTTCTGATGGCGAAAGAATCAATTTTCGATACGTCGTAGAGCGACACGACGAATTCTGCCACGTCCTTTCTGCCTTCGACGATATGGTTAACTCGTTAACTGAAGGATATTATTTGTTTCAACTGACGATTACGTCGTTCTGCCTGTACAATGGAGTATTAGGAGACGGGAACGTGATGTTAAAGTGCGCTAATTTAATATACCTGCTGTTCAGTATGCTCATTTTTGTCACGCTTACTTTAGCCACGGCGAAATTACCAAAAACTGTAAGTCTTTAATCTATTGTAATGACAAGTGCGAAAATATGAACTGCTTTTTATTCCAGATGGAACGG